ACAAAAACTACTAAAGGCAGACCGAGCCAATGGCTTAGTAAGAATATCACTTAACTAATCACAAAATTTGATATATGAAGTGATAATTTTTTTTCGCATCAATAAATCTCAAATAAAATGGCAATTCACCACAATATGCTTAGTACGCTCATGAAATACTAGATTAGTTGCAATGAAAATTGTTGTATGGTTGTCATAATGCATCTGTATAGAAGAAGGAACATCAATGCCATATCACGAAGTAAAGAACGGACCCACAACATCTCATACGCAGTATGAGCCATAGCCTAATATTAGCCTCCACACTAGATCGTGCAACTACATTATGTTTCTTACTGTGTCAACTAAAAAGGTTATCCCCAACAAATGTACAGTATCCAGAAGTAGATTATCTATCAATATGACAACCTACCCAATCAGCATCTAACACCTATGAATGATGATAACCGATATAATAATCCTTTCCCCATAGCCCTTTTTAGATACCGAATAATACAACAAACAACCTCCTAATGGGGCTTCCGAGGAACATGCATGAATTGACTTACCACACCAACCGCATATGCAATATCAGGGTGTGTATATGTGAGAGAAATTAACTTACCAACCAATTTATGATTCTGCCCTATATCATCAAACAACTCTCCACTCTCAGTATCTAACTTAACAGAAAAATCCATAAGAATATCAACTAGATGTACACCAAGAGTACCAGTCTCGGACAATAAATCCAATACGTACTTCCTTTGGCACAAACCAATACTTTCCTTTGACCGAGAAACCTCAATTCCTAGGAAATACCAAAGAAGTCCTATATCTTTAATATAAAACTGCTTTCCCAAATAGATTTTGAAATGGGTTATACCATCCGAGTCATTGTCACTAATGATAATATCATCAACATATACAATAACAATGATAACTCCTACAGAAGACCTATGAATAAAAACTAAATAGTCTAAAGTGGAACACTAAAAGCCAAACTGAAGTACCACTACATTGAATTTATCAAACTAAGCACATGGTGATTGTTTCAGGCCATACAATATTTTCTTCAAACGACACACTAGTTGTTCCTTTCCAGAAGCAACATAACCTAAAGGTTGATCCATACATACTTTTTCATATAGATTTCCATGTGAAAAAGCATTATTTATGTGAAGTTGATACAAAGGCTAATCAAAACTGACTGCAACAAAAATAAGAACTTTAACAGAGTTAAGATGAACAACCGGAGAAAAATCCTCACTGTAATCCACACTATATATCTGGGTGTAGAATTTGGCAACCAACCGTGCCTTCAATCACTCAACTGAACCATCGGAATGATATTTCACAGTGTAGACCCAACGATAGCTGACAGACTGCTTCCTAGAAGGAAGAGGGTTAGGTCCCATATATGATTGTCAAGAAGAGCTTTTATTTCCTCATCTATAGCTAGTTTTCATCCAGGAGATGCCAAACCCTGCTACAAGGAACTAGCAACAATATAGAAGACAAGGCTGATGCAAAACAACAAAAAGATGAGGAAAACCGATGTAAAGAAATAAAATTAAAAATTAAATGTTGGATACAAGTACGAGTATCTTTCCTCAATGCAATAGGCAAATCATAAGAGTATAAACTATCTAACGACTCAGAGGCTAGGACCTCAATGGAATTGGAGCACATGGAACAACCTATCTATCCTTGGATCGATGATTAACCTGCAAGTGATAGGAGAGGACGAAGATGCACAATCTGGTAGAATAGGCAACAAGAACTCCCTTGGGAAATACTAAATCGAAGGAAAGGAACTACGGTGATGCTTGCCTAATTGACAAGCCTCGCATTCTAACACTAAAGAAAAATTCAAGCCAGGGATGACTTAACGCAGCTTTTACAAGGCCGGATAACCCAATCGAAAATACCACTGAAGAGGAGACACCATAGCACTCGAGGTAAGAACAGAATCACCATGATCTAAGCAGTAAAGGCTATTGCGCTCATACCCCACACCAATCACTTTCTTTGTCTTAAGGTCTTGGAAAACACAAAAAGATGGAGAAAACCGAACATTGTAAGAACTTAGTTAACTGATTCATAGATAACAAGTTAAAGGAAAAATTAGGAACAACCAACCCAGAGGTTAATGGCATAGACTGAGTAGAATGGAGGTCGTCAGTCCCATGTTCTGGTCAAAAAGAACCTTCAATTAACATAATATGTAAATTACACGAACAAAAATTAGAGAATAAGGAACAAATACTCGGCATATGAACATTAGCACCTGAATCAATGATACAAGAAGATGAAGACAATTGAGCAATTACATATGCAAAGTTACCTCCATTAGCAAGATCGATGATAAGGACATACAAATGTGACAAAAATGAAGATAATTGTTGGATAAGCTAACTAAACTAAGAAGAAAGGTCATCATGAGAGCCATTAGTAGATGCAACTGAACCATTAGTAGAAGTCTGATGTACTAGAGAACCTGAAGTATCATTAGAAGCCTAATCAGCATATATTGGTCATCATGAGAGCCATTAGTAGATGCACATGTTGGTCTCTTCTTGTACCACTACAATAAGTACACTTCCATACATAATGGTAACTGCAACCAAAACAATCACTACATACACTATGTCCTGCGTATGGACCTCCACGACTAACATTATGGGACAAATCACAACCACTATTCAAAGGCACCATTGAAAAATCAACAAATTATTTATAACCCAACACAACACAACTAGCAAGAACAGCCGTGAACAGTGACAATGTCACTGTTTATGAACAGTGCACAGTGTCCAAAGACGCAACATAACAAATGGCGCAGCAAAAAGCCCAACAAGTGCAGCCAAAGCCCACAACCAAAAGGAAAGAAGACGCTAGCTAGAGCAAAAAAATCTGCTATCAATCTGCTGTCGTATTGAAGCCGCAAAACACCCAACAAAAAATCGCAGACAAGAAGGCCTCAACACCCAACACTAGGTCAAACCACAACCAAAACACGTGCAGATCCAAGTGAACAGTGTTTTCAGCACACGGTTCAGTCAAAAAAATAGATCAGTCGGCACTTCTGGTCACAAAAACATGTAGAAAACAGCCAAATAGGGCTGGGCAATTTGGGATACTCCTTCTTAGGCCTAATCGGCACCCCCAAGTTTGGATCTAAGCAACAAATCCTCCAAAAAGTGCCAAAAACATCAGATCTAAAAAATAGGACAGATTTTCTCGAAAAATATTCAAAAATAGAAAAACCTACTCAAATGGCTTTATAAAAAAATACACAAAATACTAATAATACTCCTCATAAAGAACCGATGCAAGAGGTAGGTGCTGACCATAGAAGTTGTTGACGCCATGCTGATGTCAACATGTCGTCAACCACTGACAAGTGGCGTCAGAAAGTGGAAAAATCCCAAGGCTCTACTGCAACGTTTTCCCAACGTTATATAGCTTGAATCGATGCTCTGATACTAAGTTGAAGTAGTGAAAAGTAATAAATAGCTTAGAAAGGAGGAGGAAGAAAGAGAGAATAATCAATGTATTTGGCAGTGTTGCTCTACACTCTTTATTTATATTGAACAAATATCTAGAGTAATTACAATATTATCCTTCTCTAGCTTATGCTTATAAACAGAAATGTAAAACATAAGCTTGAAACAATGAAAGGAAATCCAGCACTACGGCCATGGAATGCAAAAAATCTCCGACGATACTACTTCTAAAGTGCCTTCAGAAATACATACAAGACCAATAAAAGTGCCTTCGACCTGGGAGAAGAAATGCCTTGAAAGACAAAAGGCTAAACGTGAACTACTAGCATATTTTAGTTAGTTTTTACTTTGTTTCGAACTAGTTATGGTTTTGATAAACGCAGTCTTTTTCACAGAAAATGCCTTTATTCACATCTTTTTGGGTGATGATTCAAAGTGTGAACGAGCGATTTCATAGCACAATGAAACTTAGCCAAGACAAAGGAAAAATACCTAAGAATAATATTCTGGGCGAAAGACCTGAGATCTCTTCAGGTGCAATACAACCTACTGCCAAGGCAAGGAGGGCAAAAATTCTAACAGAGCCATGGGCCTAGATCAAGTGTAGCCACCCGATCAAACTTATACCTAAGGCTAAGCACGACGATGTAAGCCAATTCAAGTAAAGATTTAAAATCGATCAGATTAGCAGGTCGGTACGACGGGCACGTTAAGCCCTTGCAAAAGGCCTTAGCCCCTCGTCAAGGCCAAGTCTCTTTGATGGAGGAGGGGGGAAAGGGACATGAAATTTTCAAAATATTTTGAGACCCTAGCCCCTCATCGAGGCCAAGCCTCTTTGTTGGGAAAAAAGGGTATGAAACTTTCATTGAGGCCCTAGCCCCCCATCGAGGCTGAGCCTCTTTGAAATAGGAAGGGGGTATGAAATTTTCTACTTTTCTAGAACCTTATTGAGGTCAAGCCTCTTTGCTGGGAAAAGGGGCATGATATTTTGAAGCCCTAACCCCTCATCAAGGCCAAGCCTCTTTGCTGGGGAAAGGGGCATTAAATTTTCTAAGTATTTTCAAACCCTAGTCCCTCATCGAGGCCGAGCCTCTTTCTTGGGTGGAAATGGGCTGAATTTTTCCACGTATTTGAGACTCTAGCCCCTTATCAAGGCCAAGCCTCTTCGTTGGGGGAAAAGGGGCCAGGAATTTTCCAAATGTTATGAGGCCCTAGCCCATTGTCGAAGCCGAGCCTTTTTGCTAGGAAAGGGGCGTGGAATTTTTCAAGTGTTATGCGGCCCTAGCCCCTCATCAAGGTCGAGCCATTGTTCTAATAAAAGGACAACAATATTCTCTAAAAAGTTTTTATATCAAAGAGGCCCTAACCCCTTGGTAAGCCAAACCGCTTTGCCAGAGGAAATAGGGGAGAAACCCAAACGAGCATAGTTAACAATACAAAAACAAAAAAAAAACAAAAAAATGAGATAATATTCCTTTTAAGGAGACCCAATACAAAAGTTTTAAATTAAAATTAAGGAACAACCGGGGAATTAGGAGGGTTAGTAGAAGAAATGGTTGGTTGGACAAAAGTAGTAGTTTGCTCAACAGTAGGAACCAAAGGATCAACTGAAGGGTTGACAGAACCAACTGGCTGAAGATCAATAGCAAGCTCAAGAGGCGCACCAATGAGAGCCTGAAGAGTCATAGAATGTTGGGCGTAGAGCTCGAATTCAGGAGGGATGTTAGCTTTTTCTAGAGGAAAATCCCATCTTTTTTTGAAAAAGATTCTCTCAACTACAAGAATTGACTTTGCTATAACCTTACGGGCTTTTCAAATCTTTCATCATAAGCTTTGTCTTCGGCCTCCCTAATTGACGCTTGGAGGACTTTGAACTCGGATTGAAGGGAAGCATAGAGAACTTTCATCCAAGCAGCCATATATTTGGCTACCTTTCAGACCCTGCTCCATATTTCTGGCTACCCTTTCAAACCCTTCAACTCCCTCCAAGTTTTTTCCTAACTCCTCGTTTTCTCTGCTGAGTTTGGTAACCACAGCCTAAAACCGAGCCATTTCATCAACAACCTTCACAGACTCAATTTTCAGACCCTTGCACTTCTCCAAGGCTTGAGAGCTTGAAGCCAACGCTTTCTTCACTTCCTTGTCATTCTTCACAGTTCGGACACTTAGGTCAAACACTCACCGAAGACTAGATTAATAGAAGAAACAGAATTATTTGAAAGAAAAAGGAAAGAAAAAAAAGTCAAAAGGTTCAACAAAGGGTTTACCATAACCAACAATTGACTAGCACTACGAGCCAGTGAGTCATCACCTAGACCTTTGGAAATACAGAGGTCAAGCGAAAGATTCACTACCCTTGCAAGACCAACTGCGACGTCAATATCGTTAACAACCTAATCCTAAGAGAGAATATCTCGCCCATGAGCCATAAGACAAGGTCTCCAACAAGGGCCCCTCTCGATCCCTTCCCGTCCTTCAGTTGACCGATCAATTGTGGCTTTCCTCTTCTTTGATTGTTGCATCCTTACCAGCTCAGTGATGGATGTGGAGTCTTCATTTGGATCTGTCTCTACTTCTAAACTTATTAGCATGGAAGGAGGCTTAGTCGTGGTTCTTGAGAGATCATCCGACTGATTTAGTGGGACCAAAGAAGGGCTCGAATCTCAAGCTTCGACAGTATGCAGTGGGGACCGGGTAACCTTAACAGGAGTCCCAGAATCAAAGGCTCTTTTGAAGGTGGGTCCCAGAACCAGGTTGATGAAATTGGTGGGAACCCAACCTCTTCTCATTCCTCCCTTACGAGGGCTTCTTGGTGTGGTAGAGGGAGATGCTAGCATAGCTTGAGTAGCTCTTCACTTGGCAAGTTGAAGAGACGTTGTGGATGACACAGAAATGAAAAAGTTGTACATGGGCTCGTAACCAAGCAAGACATGAGTAGTTATGATCCGTAGCTCCCTGAGCCCCAGGCTAACCTCTAAGGGGTTGTCAAGGCTACTACCCCCATAACTATCCTAAAGAAATTGGGACAGTATTGGAGGGGATATAGGTTCAACGCGTGGAGTACCCATAAAAGCAAAGGGTAGAGGAAGAAGCTGACTCCACCCTCAGAAACAACTCTAGTGGGGAAGAGGATTCATTCCTTAGACCCTATAAGAGGTTTGTCCTTTGCAACCTCAATAACCACATCATTAGGGATGGCATATTTAGACCTAAATGCAAGAATATCACCTTCTTCAAACCTATCCATATGAAGAAAATGAAGAAGGAATGAATGACTTACAGAGGTATCTAGAGAGGAGGGAGTTTCAAGATGCAACAATGGTGAAGATGGAGAGGGAAAAGGAAAAAGAGTCAATCAGAAAAGGTAGACGAAAAGGCGCCAGAAGAATGGGGCCTGAAGTTTCAAAAGACGTGTCATTAATGCTAGTGACCGTTTATGACAGGGAAAAGACCCAAACCCCTCACTTTTCAGGTATTAACTCCAGGGAGGTATTAATGAAGGGAATGATGGCATCGTAGAGAATGTCCCCCAGTGTATCATGTGGAGGGAATGAAGGGAATGATGGCATGGTAGAGAATGTCCCCCAATGTATCACGTGGAGGGACATTCTCTGGGGACAAGTGAAAGGGTTCAAAATCAGAATAGAGAAAAGACAGACTGGTGGGGGCACATGACAAAAGCACATGCTTAGTAAGAAAGGCCTGAAGTGATTTCGACCGAGAAAGATAGAAACTGACCAAGGCAGCCCTGGTTGGTACTAAGCATAGTAAAAAAAAACCCAAGCAAAGGATAATGATCAGAATAAAGCTCTTCTAATCCAAAGTTTTAAGAAAAGCTAGAGCTCTATCTTCTAGGGATGGATCTTTATCAAAAGAATAGAGTGAATGATTCATCTCGCCAAATTAGGGATGACAACAAAGGAAACTACTGGAATTACATGGGTTGCATGATAAACATGTGATCTAAATAAATTATGAGGGAAGCTGGATGGGATCCCTGTATCAATCAAGAGGAAAACGGCTAAAAGATAAGCGTGCCACCTAGTGTAGCCAGCGGCGAAAACCCTGGCAGAAGGGGCATCATGAGACGTTATATATAGCAGGCAAAGCATAAGTCTAAGGAATGCAATCCTGACTCTAGAAATTCATTAATTCAGTTATCAGATCCTGCACTGACTTTAGTATTGGAGTACCTTTGGCCAGTTAAACCCGATCTCTGGTAGTTTGTTCATTTTGCAGGTGGGGGTAGCTTCTGTTCGTCTTCCACGAGTTGATCATTGAGCTCTACATCATCTTCGATTAAGTGGTGTAAGTTTTTTCCACTTACAGTTACTATATTGTACAGATAAGGCTAAAGGTTTGTACTTAATCCACCCTGTCAGTGCATAAATGATAAATCCATTAAGATTCGGATTGATCTAGGTCTTAAAACATAAACAATGCTACATTGCAACAATTCAATAAATAGAATCCTCCCGTTCTTCCCAGACAATGATTTTACCCTTAACCGCAATAGATTCAGCAATCTTGCGGGCATATTCAATTTCCCCTTCAAAACGTCATTTAGATGTAAATATCCTCCTTTTCCCAATAAATACAACCTCAAACCAACTCAAGAAAACAAAAGAAAGAAAGAAAAACCCACAAATAAAGTCAATATAGAGAAAAACACTTTCTGCAAGAAGAACTCTAACAAAAAATTCTTGAGAATCGAAGAAAAGAAATGAAAAAAAATGACTAACCAGATCTTTGAAGATAAGAAAAGCAACGAGGAAGAAGAGGACGAAGAGGATCTCGAACTCGGCGAACCGGAAGAATGCAAAAACTGAGTTCACCGCCCGGGTCAAAAGCGACTGTCGCTCGTCTTCCCTTCTTCGATTCATTTTGGCGCCCACTCGCTTTGCCATTGGTTTTGCCTTTGATTTTGCTTCGTCGTGTGAATCCAACCTAATCAGAACTCAACCACAATCAAATGAAACAATCAGCAAAGAGAACTCCCAAATTAAAATTCGGTTATGGTGATGCTTTGTTCCAAAACATCTTCCAGATTTTTTAAAGCTACGTGAAAAGTAGACTTGACGTGCGATTATCTAGCTAAGTCTAATTTTTAATTAAGTTTATATGTCATTGTTCCATCTCTTACCTTTGAGTCAAGTAACATGTTTAATTTGTTATAAAATTTAGGAAAAATTTTAGTCATACCCCTCTAATTTATTATATTTTCTATTATTCAAAACATCACTAATACCTTTTTTAATTTATATTTAAACATCGCTAAAATTCTTGATATTAAACCATCATTTCTAATAAAAAAAATTATCTAAAATATCAAATTGTCCCTACTTAGACCCCAAATAATTTTTTTACATAAAATTCGAGTCAATTAAAATTGTAGCAGATTAATATTTTTTACATTAAAATTTGACCCGATTAAAATTTAATTCGAGCTAATTAAATTTTATTTTTTTTAACTATTAAAATTAGAAGCTATTAAAATTCTTTTTTTTGCTTATTAAAATTTGAGAAGATTTGAGTTCAACCTGAATTGTTAGTATCGATTAAAATTTGATTCCAGTTGATTAAAATTTATATTTTTTTATTTATTAAAATCTGTGCCAATTAAAATTTGATTCAAGTTGATTAAAATTTATTTTAAATCGATTAAAATTTTTATTGTTTTTACGTATCAAAATTTGGATCGATTAAAATTCAATATGAGTTGATTCAATTCAAACTAATTAAAAATGAATTTTATTCTGTTCGAATCGAATTTAGTCAACCTGAATTTTAATACGTAAAAAAAATTATAAAATAAAAGAGGTCTCATTGAAGATATAATTATTTAGAAGGGGTATATATAAAGTTGTTCCTAAAATATATCATAGATAATTTAATAAAATTATATTCTAATTAAGATCTTTAATCTGACAAGAAGTGACGGTGAAGACCGAAAAACTAGAGAGAGTATCTTTATAGATATAATAAACTAGAGGAGATATCACTGAAATTTTCTCAATACTTTAATAGATAAACGCAAAGTTTTAATTCAAAAAAAAAAAATTAAACTTAACGTTAAAAGAATACAAACCCAAGTTTTAAAAAAATAGGGTTTGAGTATTCATTGTTTTGACTTGGTAAGAGCTTGGGTTTATCATTGGAGAAATTTTTTACTTAAAATTTAAATTTAAATTTAATAAAAAGTAAGAGCCAGAGATATTCTAACATTAAAGTTTTTACCCTTAGCCTTTGCGCGAACTTTGGAAACTTTATTATCAAAAAAATGTGCTTTGAAATTTATTTCTCAAATACAAGTATTTTGTAAAACTACTTTAGGCTAATTGACAATTTTTTAACTCACAATAATTTTTTTTTAAAATGTGAGTTCAATTGACATCTTTATAATAAAGGTGTATGACGCGTGTTTTAGCATCTAACCACCAATTTTCCAGAAGGTGGCATTTTATACAATTGTGGTCAAAGAAATTGAAAGTCGTTTTAAAATTTTGAAATGAAATATTAAAACTTTGAAGTTTTTTTCAAAATTTGATGAAATGAAATTTTGAGGCTCGTTTTGAATTTTGATTTTTGGCATTCTAAATTTTAGTCTAAAATTTTACCTGGACAGTACCACTACTTTTGTTTTGAAAAGTTAATTTTAGTTTTAAAATGGTGTAGGTGTGCTTGTGCACATATAAATAATTGTGACCTTAAATTTTAAAAATATACTGTGTTAGGTCTCTATCAATTTTGTTGATATTTCGTTAACGTGATTTATAGTAATCTAATAGGCATATTATTATTTAACATACAAATACAAAATAATGGTTCATTGCATTAAATCCACAACATTAAATGACAATACATTAAGTTCGACTTTTTTAACAAGGATCATGTTCATAACAACAAAGTAGTTTGTCATGTAAGCACAAACTTGGGGGAGAAATTTTTGAAAATCATCATCACTTCAATTAGTAAAGTTCAAAGGTTTGAGATCAGAAGCCATGAACGAATCCCCTATAATTTCAATAATAGCACTACTAAGGTCAATGCTCTATTTTTGTATATTTGATTGCCAGAAAATGATCTAATTATCAGTGCATCTAATCATTCTCACGTTGAGGCATTGCTATGATTTCGTCATAGTTGCTTGAGATCCATGGATGGAATATACCAACTGAATGTGCCTTTGGCACCAATAATTAATGCCAACGATAGTATATTTCATGCTCACATCAATTATTATACTCCCTCCACTTTGTTGTTTGTTGAAAACAAACACATGGAGGCTAATTATGGGTTTTAGGCACAATAATTACATGGTCGATGTGTGTCAAAGGAGTACAAATGTTGATTGGCTCATTGCAGAAGTCATGCCTCCGTTCATACCACGTTGCATCACCATAATTTGTGTAGGATCTATAAGAAGACAAACGATTTTTACAATGAACTTTCCCCATAGTGTGATCTTTGATGTTCATTTCTTGTTGACGAAATTTGACGTTTGTCGCATGAATGCGAATTTTGAAATTGGTTGTGTGAGGATGAACCATCATTGGTTTGGTTGGAACCCCCATGTGATGACCTTCTAGGCATTTTAGTTTAGGTTTTACATGGTGAGGTCTTACAATTTAGTGGGATAAAGCGTTGATAGGGTAGAAGCATGTAATAGAGGTAGACGATGAATAAAAGAAGAGTCACATTATTTGTAAGACACTTAAGTATCTCCCCCAACACATCGGTGTTTAGTCACTTTAGATTGAAATTAATTCAACAACACATAAGTGTACCAGACACATTAAGTACATAGGTCATTAACATTAACTCACATTTTCACATG